GGGTTTTCGCTCGCTAGTTTTTTCTCGGTTTGAGCAGAGTCTATTCCGAGAACAAGCCATTAGCCAGTTATTCATTGAAACAGATGCTTCATTCCACATCGAAAAGAAGCGCCATGGATAGATCAAAAGCAGCTTTTTGAGATAATACTCAAAGGCGAATGATACACTCACGAATAGATTTATTACAATCTTAATTTCATAGCTCGGTAGTTGAATACACACAAGTTTACTCTAGTCAACGATAGCAAGATTTTGAAAAATTAGTGATTGCACTAAGAAAAGACAAACATTTATTTGTGATAAACCTGGGAGCTCTATTTAGTTCAGAAAGTTGTAGATGTGGGATGAGATGAAGCGATCGCTAAAGCTGCAGAGCTAGATTATCTCGCAAGCCACTTCCTAGCTCATATAGCGGATTATAGGGTAAGTAGTTTTATCCGACAAGAAGCACGAGCACGGAAATAGAACATCTCACCGCGTCAGCTACCACTTCTGAATAGCGCAGAAAATGACAAATGCACTTATTTGTCATATAGTGGTGTTGTTTCAGGGAAATAAAGACGAAATCCTCAGGGACTAGGAAGTACAGTCAGCCTTTTCATGAGGACATTGTACCAACCAACAAAAGGGGGAGACGGTCAAGAGGCGCGATTTCTCTTTAAAACCCAGTATTATGCTATGCGAGTCTTCAAAAAGTACCAGATAAAGTGCATTGGCTTACTAGCTGTCTGAGGTAACCACTTACTGAGTTTGATGGCTTTTGCTGGAAAACGGACCGAAATATTTCCAGTTTTGTTCTTAACTGCATTTTCATGGGTTTCTGACCTTCAAAATTGCTGTCTCGAATTGATTTTAAGGTAGCAAGGTTAAGCAAACCATGCAACTATCTGATGTATCTTCTTCTAAAGTCTGAGTGATTTTAGAAAGTTATAAAACACTTACTACCTGCTACTTGATATCCATCTGGCAACAAAAATCGCGCCTCTTGACATACACCCAACAAAAGGTGATAGAAAACTTTTTCCTTCAAAATGCATATACGTGACTGGCACAAAATCACTTTCTGTTGCACAACGTCATGCGTAACAAAAACCATGATACTGTAAAACTTTTATGACTTTCATCGATCATAAAAGAACTTTTTCTTTACTTTTAGGAATTCTAAGTCCAAAGAGCAGTACAGTAATGAACTTGACTTCAAATTTCTTCTACCCAAACCCGCGCAATAGAGTTTAATCGAAGCAGTAGGAGCGCGGAACATTTGTAGGGCCATCCGAATAGTGACCCGAAGGAATGGAAGCCATTCAAAAATGGTGCAAGCTTCACACATCTCACCTGAGTTTTCTAACAATTCGAGATATCAAAATTTTGTCAACCCACAGCATGTTCAAAGTGCTATTTAGTCCATATTGAAAACTATTTCACCACAAAAAACGAATACAACTTTATTTAGAAGAGAGGTTTGAAGAAACCACAAAACATTCAAAATGACTTCTTGCAAACCAATAATTTGTATTCCATTCATTAGCAACGCCCATAATCATGCAAATTATGCTTTATACGCAAAGAAAGGCAGATTAGCATTCTACTCTAGCTCTATTCGATACTGTAAGCCTAGATATGATGAGACACAAATTGCATGAACCACATATATTCTAATCTTATGTTCGCAAGCTACGAGAAAAAGAAATCGTAACGATGTGTACACGCAGTGCAGTAGCTACAGTAAGTTTACAAAGAACTGATCGACTTCGAAAAGGACATACTTGAATTGAGAGAAGGAAATTCAACAAGCGAAGGATTCGCACAACAAGGGAAGTTTACGCTGAACATGAATTGAACCATTTGCACCTGAATGACTCCTAGCATCTCTACCTGGATTACCCCTACTACCGGTAAATGAAAAACGACCCTTGAAAGTATAAGATCTTGATAATCCAAGATAATCTTCAGTCCGCTATTAAGGTAATAATGATACCTTACCTAAACCTACCTATATTCTATCTACATAGTTCATATGATCACTGCAGCATGTTGGAACCAAAATTTGATCTTCATGGAACTTTGCGAAGCGGCCATGAACTTTACCGGATAAAAAACTAACGGGTAGCGGACTATACGTCGCCGATAGGTGCCACCCTGCGCGGACAGCTAATACAAATCCGTACTGCCCGTAGTGTGTAGAGCTGCGCAGGCCGTCGCAGATGTCCAAGTGCCAAGTTCTGCTCAAGTCCATTTTCGCTAACAAATGGTCGAATGAATGGTCAGTTGATAAATCAACTACGTCAAATAAATTCCAGAAATTCTTTCCAGCATAGAGAAGACTTTGACAACTGCTCTTAAGAAGCATGTAGAGACAGATATGAGATAGAATAGCGGGTGCTGCGAAGAAACAAGGAAATGGAAGATAAATGTATAAAATGACTATGGAAACGGCAAATCTCGCATGTGACACAATAAAAAAGAAGACAACAACTAACAGAAACAGCCGTTGCTGTGTCACGCTACAATCTATGCAGACAAAGAGTATCAATCTCAAAGGAAAGAAGCAAACAACTGTTGTTTTGTCCGCTGCAGTATTTGCAGTAATCATGAAAATTTTGTAGTTCTTGAAGCTGACAGCTTTACGAGTATCACATGCTTCAAAGACATTTGAGCAAATGACACTATACACTCAGTTTTAATGCATATTACATTTTACAAAAAATTCCATGAAAGACGTGCAAAAGGCGCAATAAATCGTTTGACAAATTAAAGCACTTCCACTAATGGAAGGAAGGGATCCAAACGAGGATTTAATGCAGTGGAGATAGCAGAAAAAAGATCCGGTTTGTGTATACAGCCAAGCACGAACAGAGCCTACAAAGAACGACCAATGTGGCACCTTGTACCACTCTTAAGCTGCTTTTCTGATGAAAATTCAGTAGTACGACCGTGAAAACAACACATGACGTTTTTGTAACGAGCAAAAGAAAAAGACTCATCAATCATACAACCACGAAGTTTCCGTCGGTTTTTGTGCTTTCGATGCCACCATCAGCTGGACGCGTTCGCCAAACTTGGAGCAGTTGTATCAGAAGTAAAAGAAATCAAAGCACAAAGATCTCTCCTCATGTACGTGAGTACTTGGCCGTACAGCTGTACTGGATCGCAAGTAAGCTAGGATTTCTTTGTGTAATTGCACAGATGTTTGGTCGAACAGGTTAAAGATCGAAACGTCCATTATGTTCTGAAGAGGCGAAATGCCGTACGTAAGTCAATCCAGTAGTATACAATCTCAAGCGGGCTGGCACAGACTACAATTTGTTTCAAGCATTCCTATGGATGACAGACTAACTCAGTAGTGGCCAACTCTGCATTTAGGCGTTTTTTTTTTTGGGGGGGGGGAGGGGTAAATCATCATCAAAAACTGGTAAATTTGCGCTTCGCATACAGAATTTCTATGTAGTAGAATAAATAACTCGTTTGAAGAGACTATTCGCAGACAGCAAAAGAGATTTTAAGAAGCTCTGCTGAATCCGATGACACGTAATTTCTTGAATAGCCCTTCTTTTCCATTTTTTTTCAGCAGCAAAAAAATTAGTTGATCAGATTGCGACAGGCTTTACACGGCGATATTTTCAAACGTAATGTCATTTGCTTCCCTGCAGCAATTAGTGCCGGAGAATAGCATCAATTCAGTTCCATTTCTCTAATTCCAGTAAGGGTAACGATAGCGAAATCACCGCAGAAAAACAACAAAACTTCAAATGACTTAGGCAGGATGCGGCTTTTATCTTCTCTCGTTTCATGGCGAAAAAAAAGCCCACCAGCCAAATCTGGTAGCCACAATTTTCCTTCAAAAATCTTTCTTCGTCAATTTTCATTTTCATTTTCCTTCTTCTGGCATGCCCAAACGCATTCAACTTCACTGTTATTACCGAATGCGTGCAGGCCTTGATAGTGACTTGCTGGGCACAGCCGTTTGCATTCACTGCTTTTATCCTCCCAGATTACTCTGGTACCAATTTACCGTCACTGGAGAGTAGAGGGCTTGGACGGCCCGGGGGCGGAACCGAATCTTGTTCCGACCTGGTCATAGCGGCGCTTCATACCACTATGCCACTCGTCCCTTTGACTTACCACGCGCAAATGAAGATTCTCAACTGTGGCTTGCATGCAAAAGTTTATAGACTGAAGTGTTCTAATTTCACGAGTACAAGATGCACCTTCTTTCTTTTTTCAAGCAAGCAGGTCGTCCGCAGAACTGTGCCTCGCGAAATGGTTTCTCTCTCACACGATCCTCTTGAGTAAGGAGCAGCATGGTAAAGGGTAATTTAAGCGATTTTCTTTTCGCTGTATTCAGGTTGGTCGATTTAAGAAAAAAAAACAGGCGCATCTTGTACTCTGAAATTAGGGTAGCAACTTTCAAGCACTGAAGTTTCACATTATAATTATGAATGGAAGCGCAGTAAATATTTTGAGAGAAGAAAGAATGATAGAATTTCGTTAAAAGCAATAAGATCAAAGTTTTCAAAAAATGTGGCACAGAATTGACAGTAATGAAAATGCGATATAACCTGATATTCCAAGCTGCACAAGCTGTGGAACATGAACACATAATACAAACTTCCAGCAACCAGGAATTACGTGCATTACCGCTGAGTTTTGGCAGTTTTCTTTTACGAAAAGGCATAATGGTATTGAGCTTAGCTTTTGAAAAAAAGTAAGGAGCGAAATTGCTCTTGGACCTTATGGCAAACATTGTAAGTCATAAGAGTTCCCCTGCAGGAAAAAAACACACGTGTAAAGTTTGCAGCTGCACGCAGCCAATAGTGGCCAAAGGAAGTGCTCTAGGCTTTTCACAAAGGGTCAATCAAAACTAAAAGCAAGTTTAATTTGTGCCACTTGAGGCACGCACACGGACATAACGTAGCTAGTGTGCATAAATGGGAAAAATGGAACTCGAAAGCTGCCATCTCAAATCAAGAATGCGCATATATTCAAGTAACTGCATTTACCTTCAAAACTTTTCGAAGCGCCAGTCCCGGTGAGCAATGAAGGAGAACGTTTGCAATTGGATATCGGCGTGCTGTGGGCGAAGTCACCGTGGGACGAAGTCGAATGGGGGAAAATTACCAGTACTCCTGACTGTCGTCTCCTAGAAAGGATGAAATTGCGAATGGAGCATGACAAAATGTGAGCTAATGATAAAACTTACGTATTCAACAAATTATAGTTCAAACCGCTCTGAGTTGCCTCCGAAATTGTACGCCTACGTAGTCGTGGCCCACCAAACCCATCAGGTGCAGACCCAGCAACTACTTCGGGCGGAGGTGAGCAAATAGGTGGAAAGCCGAGATCTGGAAGGGTGTATTTGGAGATGGAGTACAAGAATTAAAAACGCTTTCAGGAAAGAGGTATCGAAGAATCGTTTCATTATGATGTCAAAATTGTAGGCTGCAGTCTTGCACCACATTAAAAAGTTAGGGATAGGAAAAGGCAAAAAAAGCAATTATGATTGGCATTATTCTCCACCGATTAGCGCAAAATATTGTTGAATGTATACAAGTCCCTTCGACTGAGATGAGATCATATCAATAAAAACCACAAAATTATTTCAACAAACCCATGTCAAGGCTTTCTTGTCCCGTGGCAGGCACATTACAGGAGCGCAATCTCGTTCTTCTCCGAAATCCATCTATAAATCGAGAATGAGGAGATGGCGCTGTTGTTGTTGGTTGTGAGGATGGTGGCGTGACTCGCTCGCAGTTTGTCACAGTAGTAGACACTAAAATTAACGGTTTGAAAAGTGCACTGAGGCGGTAATAGCTACCTATCTACGAAAAAATGAACTATACATATACCTAGGCACAACAAAGAAAAAACTAAGAAGAAAACTCTAATAAACTGCTAGTATATATCCATCAAATGAGATTTAAACCAAGAAACCACGCTAAGAAATTTGTGTAAACAGTGTAATGCAACGTCCCCGTTTGTACAACATTTTTCTCAAAAGCAGCGCCGCAACAAAAGGAAAAGTGCCCCTCCCAAAAGTCATGTGCCCCATAATCAGAAGCAATCACATGAAGGTGTTTGTCTAGTGAATCCAATCACATGCAAATAGATATTGCTAATCGTGCCTGGAATCAGAAAGCAACGCTTCAAAGCCAGAAATAGAAAAAATATTTGCATGAAAAACAGTTTTCTCAAACACTTCTGCTACTTATCAAAAGACCCGTACAAAACGGATAGGTACCTCAAACAAACAAAAACCAAGCATGACAAGTATTCAAAAAACTGCGAACAGCTGCAATCAAAACAGAATAGAGAAATTAAAATGGTAGGAAATTCACAAATACAAAAAAAATATTGCTCACCTTGCGGGTGAACATAGGGAATCGCTTGACCTGCTTCAATATCTCCGGCTCGTTCATAGACATTGAAAGGCAGAGGTATGGACGTCTGTTTTAAGGACGTCATAGTTCTCCACCTGTAAATCAACAGAAGTAATCGACACAATCGACCATAATTGGATTCTTCAGAAGACAAATCGGGTAAGAACCGTGATTTTTTTTACGCAAAATTCAAAAAAAAATACACAGACTGTTAACCTTCAAACATGTTCGAAAAAACTGATTGCGATGATGATCTAACGATGTTTTGACTGAAAACTGTTGAATACTGCGCAAGCAGCAATGACACTAAGCACCATCATTATGTAACTTTGTATAATTTTGAAAAATAAAACGATATACTAGAGACAGGAAATGAAAATTCTGAGACAGCAACAACAAACTCGACCAATGTTACTGGCAGTATATAATAGCGTAGTGTTGACAAAACTATTTCATTTTCAGCAATGGAGAAACTGTTGATAAAGCACAGAGCAAACAGAACCGAAGTTTACCAATGGAGAGCAATAACGATAGAATTGCGGAATTACGAGCCAATTAGATGTCGTCTGAACCGAAATTATGAAGCTGGGCACTTCAGCATATCATAGCATATCAAGCAGTGAAAACACTTGAAACAAAAGGAAATCACGAAAGCTCACACATAAAAAAGACAAAGGAAGGCAATATAATCGCGAAAATTATAACAGATATAAAAAGTATAGTGGTTAAAATTACAAAGCGATAGTGAATAGGCGCCACGATTTCCCAGAATAGTAGCTGATAGTGTCAGTTCAAATGATTCCCATTCTATACTTGATTAACAGAGTACAAAGAAGATAAAAGAAAAAATACAACAAAATAAAAAAGAAGGCATTATGGCAGAAAGCACTACTTAAATATAAAAAGTACACTGGTTAAATCACAAAGCGATTGTGAGTAGACGCCATTATTTCCCAGAATAGTAGCTGATAATGTCATTAAAAATTATTCGTGTTTCAGATTTCATTAGCGGCCCCACACAAAACTAACAAGATTCCAGAGAACGTACATGACAAGAGCACAAGGCCAGAGGCCACTGCTAACAAAAGGAGAATAGTCGAGCGAAGCAGCTCCCGCAACTACAGTTTTGTCAGAAACAAAGCCTCCAATGATTCGAGAGAAAGGACAATAAAGGGCTATCGAGCAAGATGATGATGAAGAATTTTGCGCAAGATGCTGTGTACTTACTCCTGATGAAAAATTAGCAAACCCAGAATATTTACCTCTCTTGAATCAGAACTGCGAATACATAACCATACAGCCAAACCTTTCATACAAAAACACAAACAGCTCCTAGTAGCCAAAGTGAAATATTGCATGCGAGGCGTCAGAGTAGCGATGGCACCGTTCCGTACCGTTCGGTTATGTATAGAAATGAGAATGTGTCGATGTTATGCAGGACAAGAAACGCAGAGAGCTAGAAAGAAAGGCACGGGAGTCCCGATGCCATTGATTGGTCGTAAAAAAAGCGTTTGCCCTTCTGAATGCTATACATCGGCTCTATCGAACAAATCAAAGAGATTTCAGCGAAATGGATGTGACTTCATGATTTGACCTTCATGATCATGAGGAGTCAATGAGACAGAACGGTCGAGCAGTTTGGGAGACGGTCAAGAGGCGCGATTTCTCCGGCTGTCAAACAACTCAAAACTCCAGTTTAGTGCTATGCGAGTCTTTAGAAAACACCAGATAAAGTGCATTGGCTTACTATATCTGTCTGAGGTTATTACTTGCTGAGTTTGTTGGCTTTTGCTGAAAAACGAACCGAGATATTTACAAATTGTCTTTAACGGCATTTTGGGTTGACGTTCAAATTTACTTTTTGAATTGATTCCAATACAGCAAGATTAAGCAACTCATGCAACTACCTAATATATCTTCTTTCAAAGTTCAATTACTTTTAGAATGTTACAAAACCTTTATTATGCACTATTTGGTGTCCATCTGGCAATAAAAATCGCGCCTCTTGACATACACCCATCAAACGAGCCCAATTAAAAATCTATTTGTAAACTGGGCCTTCATTAATGAATGAAGATCAAACTATTCAGTCCAAGGCATGAGTGCCGGAATACACTAAGCGATCTACAGTCAGAAATCATAATGGATGATTTAGCTCGTTGCAGCGCCAACAACATTTGTGCGTAAAAAATGACCAATGGACGCAAAATTTGACCTTGTGCACTTTACGACCATTGAATACGCGCAACGGTTGTCGTCACTGCATGTGCACTACTACACCATTAAACAAAAAGACTCCATACTTCTTCCAAATTTCGTGCATGTTTGATATAAATTTACATACTAAATACTTTGGAAAGTAGTCTAAAAAATACCTCATGCTTGAACCCACCGAATTGGGCGAAAAATGAGAATAACCTATCGCATGAATTGTCTCGTTTACATGGCCTTAGAAAACACTAACAATAAGCAGCCAAAATGATTCCGCATAGCAATAAGACTGACGCGAAATTCTGAGCATCGAATTATCGCGATACGGAGCGTATAAATCACTAGTACTTCTAAGCGGCACGACCGATAGGAGCATAAAGCAAACCGTTTACATCGTTAGGAATTGCACTTCCATAGACGGGGAAGTGCACTTTTCCGCTAGAGGTGTTGAACGTCGATCGAGTACACGAAAAAATGGTTGTTCTTTGCTTGCAGTAGAGGACACTTGTTGGCAATAATGTACTTTCACTTCACTGCAGACATAAATTTGTGAAGCTGCAGGACTCTTAAAGTATTTAGACTATTCAAATTTTTCTTCAGTAAGCAGGATTTTCACAAGAAATGGTAATGATCCGTCAGTTAAGCCATTCGATGGGATGCGAGAACACTCAGAATCGGTGTTGGGTGGGTTATACCATAGGACATGGCCTTCATAGGTAGCATTGTGGGTCACATCACCAACACCGGTACTACTATATTTGATATGAAAGATAATGGATGTAAAACTTGTCTATAAGAAAGAAAACTCAGAACCTGAAAAGAAGAAAAACAAATTCAAAAAACTGGATAGGGAATGCCTGCATCGACTGACCTCTTAAGAAGGAATTGTTCTAGCCTTGACGCTACACTGTTGCTTCTAAATCAAGCTTAGAGAGTTCATACAAGTACGAAAAGAAATAATGTAGATAATTAGATAGATAGAAAGCTAGATATGTACGTACAACTTCAATGCAACAGATATGCAGAGCGCATGACAAGATCAAAACAGATGATCATGGCAGGCTGATCACATCGCACGAGCTCTCGTAATTTGAACAAATAGACATGTGGAAAAATCGATATTCCATAGAGAACGGTGTTACGTCTGTGAAGAAGAAAAACATGGAGCAACTGAGAGATCTAAAAAGAGTAAACTATATAGTTTAACAATAGCATTCAAAGCTAAAGGGATGGAGCATATGCTATAGATTTCATATAAAGTCTACATGTCGAATCTATGATTGAACAAATGACCGTTAGGCTTTGGCCATACTTTGCCCGTGTTACCGGTGTTGAAAGTGCTGCCAGTGTTGAAAGTGTTGAAAGTGTTGCCAGTGTTGAAAGTGTTGAATGTGGGAATCATCAGTCTTGCAGTTTCATTCTTCCTCGAACGATCTCACCGGCTGGTGAGTACGTCTGGGATGGAAATGGGAAATGAGAAATGAGACTGAAATGAAATAGGAAATGCTTTCGCAAAAGCTCCACGAACGTACTTTTTGGAAAGTGAAGGTCTTGTTCTGAATAGGCAATCTCCGACATTTGAGATGGCTGCTAAAGTCTGTTGAGAATGCGTGTTGGGCGTCGAACTCGGCGCTTCTGCGATTAGTGAGCAAAAGATCTTTGGGAGGTCTCGCAGCCTTCTCAAATGTTGGAGACTGCTTCTTTTAAACAAGTCCTTCACTTTCTAAAAAATTTGTTCGAGGAGCTTTTGCGAAAGCATTTCCTATCTCATTTCAGTCTCATTTCTCATTTCCCATTTCTATTCCAGACGAACTCACCAGCCGGTGAGGTCGGTCGAAAAAAAAATGAGAAACACTCTCACACCGGCAACACTTTCAACACCGGCAACACTTTCAACACTGGCAAGACTTTCAACACCGGTAACACGGGCAAAGTATGGCCAAAGCCTTACCGATTAACAATCTCACGTACCACGATGAGCGATCAAGTGATGGATGGACAGCAATCAAAAAATAATGATTGAGATTCAGTGAGGGGAACAATAATTAGCACAGCGTATGCAACGCTGAGAATACCAACTCTCAATATGGAATAATTGTACTATCAACAAAACAAAACACCTTCCTCGTGACGATTCACTGGGCAGCAAATTTTGCCCCAAGTCATTGATGACAGCGTTGTAACTTCCAGGACATAGGTGAATTTGTTAGCTTTTGTCTCATGATAACAATAAAATTAGAGCAATGATGAGATAAAGATCGAGTTACATCAAAAGAAAAAAACAGTGGAACTGCGTCCAAACTTTCTCGACGCCATATACAGTGTGCAAATGCACACATTAACAGAAAATTCTCGGATGCGCTTACATGTATAAGGCATTTGGAAAATCGTGATGATGGCGCGATTGCGCGCCACACGCACGCCACTTCCGGAAATAGCATTTTCTTGGTTTTCATCTCTAGTCGAATGTTTTTTGCTTACGTATGATAACACTTAGACACGGTAAGTGACTGAGCTGAACGTTAGATGATGCCTTCTTGTATGAGCGTTTTATGCTCCAGTGGGCGCAAAGTCCACACCAAAATCCGTCGTCACGATTATATAAATGAACTATACAAGCTTCCGAACAAATTCTTCTTATCACTAAATAATTTGTTTACAAAGACTAGCGGCCCGATGGCTATCAGTTGTGAGAACTGTCATACTGAGTCACCAAAACCTCGGATAACACTTTTCAATGCCGTAAAAAGCCGTAATTTTTGTTCATTAATGTTTTGATAAAAAAGATCTGCTGAAAATGCATGGTGCATATAGGTTTGAATGACAAAAGTACGATTGTTTGTAAAAGATTGCTAGATGAAAGAATTGTCTAAATGTCGCATTC